TATAATAGCATGTTCATTCATATTCCATAATCACAATATATATATATATGTACTGTATATCCAAGTAATTGTAATATCATTGATATCATCATGTCCACCTAGGATAGAAGGGAGAAACAGGGAGAAACCGGTTCCGTGTTTCTCTCCACCAAACATGTGGGCGTGTGGCATCGCGCCATCCCACTGCAATCCTGATCCTTTCCAGGCAGAAGTGGATGCCTACCTGGTCACAGATTCACCCTCCACGTGAGGCGCGTCCACTCAAACGCGCGTCAACTTGCTGACTTGGTTGCGAAAAATGAGTCTTGGGAAACCCACCGTCGGTGGTCGTTGCCCACACGACACGAGTCTCTTTTTGGATGTGTTGCCTTCTATTTGGTGAATGGCCGTTCATCAAGTCTCTCTACCCATGAAGGATCCAGTCAAGCATTGGATGCCAAAACAAGCCATGTCAAAGTTCATTTCCTGGTTGCCATTAGTAAATTTCCAGACTTGCAGACTCAACTTGTTTGATCTACTGCTTCCAATGACGACCTGCAACGATCAGGGCTGATCATTGGCCAGTTGCTGTTGCTGGTTTCACAACTGTTGTTGTTTGTTTCGATTGGTGAATGATTGTATGTTGCTTTGGTAGAAACAAGGACATATGAAGACCTCATTGACTCATTGGCTCTCAGTTCTGGTGATTGATGCCCGGCACACCTTGCATGGAGGCTGGGAAGAATGCAGAACTGAGAACATCCAGGTGCGCTGAGAAGATCCCACCGCAGCGGAGTGTTTTCAGTGTTCAGATGGACGGCAGGGCCTGTGGGAAGATGTTAGATGTTGGGTTGTTCTGTAGGCCGACTCCCAAGTGCAACCCTCCAACATCCTTCCAATCCCCCAATGATCTGGTGGAATACCATTGAAAGATGGACGACCATCCAATCCCCCAACATGTGGGCCAGATGCAAACAAATCATGGTGTGTGAACAAGCTTCGTCTCACGAAGTGCGCTGTGTGACCGAGACACGGCTGTTCACGGCTCTGAGACGTGACACGGCGGACTGAGTCCGTCAAAACAGGCCCACACGTTCACTCTGGAAAACGAGGACTACCAGGGATAGATATCAAGCTAGCAGCTATAGGGGTTCAGATGACATGGACGCAATATGGGCATGCGTCAAAACCTGGAGCCCCAACACCATGTAG